GCCTTTGGGTCAATTTCCAGCCTTTGGGTTTTTTTGAAAAACACCCCCAAAAATGCCCCCAAACAGATGACCAGTCAAAGTAGGTCTCCAGAAGCCAGTGAATGCCCGAGCACAGAAATGAAACAATGAATGTAAATTCTGTTAAAAGTGGAAGAAATAGAATGCAAGCAAAATAAAAAATATAATTTCCTGATCATATGATGCTTGTTGCTGGTCATTTTTGGTGAAGTTCTTAACAAGTAATACATTTTTTAAGTAAAAATTTCTTAGAGCTGATCCCATTTTTTAAAATTAAAAACTTATTATTGGGGGCTGGAGAGATGGTTCAGTGGTTAAGAGCACTGGTTGCTCTTGCAGAGGACCTGGGTTTGGTCCCACCACCCACATGGTGACTAACAACCGTCCGTAACTCCAGTTCCAGGGGATCTGACACCGTCTTCTGATCTCTGTGGGCACTGTACGACACAGGTACACTTATATACATGCAGGCAATACACATAAGTAAAAATAAAATTTTAGAAAAATCATTATCGTGTATGTAATTTTATGTGTGTATACATGATGTATGTGCACATGTGCCATGGTGAGGGTGTGGAGGTCAGAGGACAACTCTGTGGAATGGGTTCTAAGAACTCTTTTTTTTGAGACAGGGTCTCATTATCCATCCTTGGCTGGTCCAGAACTATGTAGACCAGGGTGGCCTCAAACTCACAGAGATCTACCTGCCTCCTGAGTGCTGGGATTATAGGCCTGTACCACCATGCCCAGTCTTTTGTTGTTTTGTTTTGTTTTGAGATGGTCTCATGTGGTTCTGACTGGCTTTGAACTCATATCCAAGGCTAGTGATTCTCCTGCCTCCATCTCCCAAGTGTTAGGATTATAGGTATTATTAGGTGATTATTGATTTTTAGGTGTTAGGATTATAGGATTACAGCCTTGCTTGATCCTCTTTTTTAAAAAATATTTTATGTATTATTATTATTATTTTTGTTTGTTTTTTGTCTTTTTTGAGACAGGGTCTCCTTGTAGTCCTAGCTGTCCTGGAACTCACTATGTAGACCAGGCTGGCCTCGAACTCACAAAGATCCACCTGCCTTTGCCTCCCAAGTGCTGGGATTAAAGGCATGTGCCACCACACCCGGCTTTTATTTATTATTTTTATTTTATGTAAGTGTATTGCCTGCATGTTATATGAGTGCAACCGTGTCGTGCAATGCTGTGGAGGTCAGAAGAGGGCTTCGAATTTCTCTGGAACTGGAGTTAGGAAGGCGTAGCCGCCGGGTGCTGGGAATCGAACCCGGGTCCTCTGCAAGAGCAGTCAGTGCTTTTTTTAAAAAAAATTTATTTATTATTTTTACTTTTTAATGTGTATGCGTGTATTGCCTGCATGTAGGTAAGTGCACCTGTGTCATGTAATGCCCATGGAGGATGTGGGTGCTGGGATTCGAAGCCGGGTCTTCTGCAAGAACAACCAGTGTTCTTAACCGCTGAGCCATATCTCCAGCCCTCGCAGTCAGTGCTCTTAACTGATGAGCCATCTCTCTAGCCCCATTGATCCTCTTTTTAAAATTTATTTTATTTTTATTTTATGTGTATGCGTGTATTGCCTGCATGTAGGTAAGTGCACCCGAGTCATGCAATGCCCGCAGAGGACAGAAGAGGCTACTGGATCCCCTGGAACTGGAGTTACAGGCAGTTGTCATGTGGGTGCTGGGATTCGAACCTGGGTCTTCTGCAAAGAACAGCCAGTGTTCTTAACCACTGAGCCATCTCTCCAGTCCCTGATCCTCTTTTTTAAACAATATGACACCTTAGATAGATGGAACTCATACCAGAAAATATTTTCAATGTCAGAAAAAGGACAGGGGCCACTTATTAATCATGTTAGATCTGTGTGATGATCAGTTAGTGAGATTTCTCTGTACAAGGGCAAGGTAGCATTTTAGGCTCTGTTTCTGACAATAGGAACTTGAATCTGATAGACTCTAAAGAACTTATAAGAAATGCATTTCTTACATACATTTTGCATCCAATCCATCTATGGATTGTTTTTGTTTTTGAGACAGGGTCTCACTATGCATCCCTGGCTGGCCTGGAACTTACTATGTAGACAAGGGTGGCCTTGAACTCAGGGATCCACCTGCCTGGGCATCTTGAATGCTGGGATTAAAAGGTGTATGCCACCATGGCTGGTCCTATCTATGACTGTTGACTGAAAGTTCTGCTTTGGATATTTTCTTTAACCTTTGACCTTAGGAACCAAACTCAGTCTAATGGATATAAAGATAGAAAACAATGGACCTGTGACAGTGCTGTTCCCCCTTGCGTCAACATGTGCCAGAGACCAGATGACGAGTTTCAGACTCATTTTGTGTTCCCTTTGGTGTGTCCCAGACTAGCTACTACTTTGTACAAATCCGTTCATCCTTCCAGGCTTCTTTCCCAGCTATCACACATACCTAAGGAGATTCACCATTTCAATACATCTCTCAAAAACTCTTGGTGGCTAAAGGCTTACCCCTGTCCTTTTTTTTTCCTTGAGATGGTCTTCATCTCAGGCTGACCTTAAGCTCATGATCCTCCTTCCTCAGTTTCCCCAGTGCTGAGATTATAGGCATGTATGTACCTGGAACTAAGGACTTCAGAGGAAGTTACTAGAAAAGCAGGTGTAGAGATCGGCATTCATCCAGGCTGTGGACCTCTCCTCAGAAAAGCAATACAGAAGCCTAGCACAGATATAAGAGTTGATTTTGTGGTAGACACACATCCTATGGAGCCCCTATAAAGCTGCTAAGAGCTTTTGAGAACACTCAGGAGAGGAAAGGTACCCAAGCTCTTGGCACAGAAAAGTACATGCCCTGGCTCAGGTTGCTCAGAGCAGGTCCCTGAGTAAGAAGTGGTCTCAGAATTTAGAGGAACTGACCTTAAACTGTTTTCTTTTTCTATAAACACTAGAGGAAAAGTTTTTATTTTGAGGCTTTTTATAATGTGGCTGAGAGGTTACAAGATAATCTCTCAAGAAGGCTAGGGATGTGCCTCAGTTGGTAGTGTGTCATGCCAAGGACTGCTTAGAACTGAGCAGAGTGGCACATGCTTGTAATCCCAGCACTCTGAAGTTCGAACCAAGAGTACTGAAGTTCAAGGTCATCTACGAATACTCAGAAGTTTGAAATCTGTCTAGGCTACATGAGACCCAGTTTTAAAACAGCAACACAACAATAACAACATACAACAAACTGTTAAGAAAAACTGGCCCAGCTGCCAACCTGCTGGCCACCTACCAGGAAGGACAGTTTGGCCTCATCAGTGCTCTCGATGCCTTTTGTGTCAAATTTGCCCTGCTGAAGGCTGCTCTGCATAATGTTCACAGCACTTGTCACCCCACGCTGGATGTCCTGTAGTGTGGTGGCTGGGAAGCCCATTCGCAGTTTGTTATACAAAACATCCCTGTGGGACAGAATGGCATATGGGGAGCGACAGTGTTCAACCTGGCTTAAGGACAGCAGGAAGAGTGCACTCACTAGCCTGACTCAATTGCATCAGCTGTCCTTTGGGGGGAAATAACCAATTCTTGAGACCAATATAGGAGACCTTAGGGGCCAAGGTGAGACGGTAACCACTACTCCTCAGAATATGCAAGGGAGGCTTGGCTTTTTTTTTTTGGAAAGATGGGATAACAACTTACTGAGTAGCAAAGCTTGGGAAGGGGTAGGATGGACCTAGCTTTTGTTCAACAGCTACATTGTCCATGATGGCACTGAATTGTTACTGTGGTTTTAGCCAGTCTTTATTTCTTATCAGGTATTCAGTTATTACCACTGAACTCCATCAAAGGGGAGGCAGTTGAGGCTGGGGAGATGGCTCAGTTGTTAAGAGCACCGGCTATCTTGCAGAGGACCCAAGTTCGGTTCCCAGCACCCACATGGTGGCTAACAACTGTAACTCCAGTTCCAGGGGATCTGATGGTTTCTTCTGAACTTCGAAGGCACTGTGTAACACAGGTGTACTTACATACATGCAGGCAACATACATATAGACATAAACATTCAAAAAATGGGGTTGGGGGGCTGGATAAATGGCTCAGTGGTTAAGAGCACTGATTGCTCTTGCAGAGGACTCAATTTTGGTTCTGAGCACCCACATGGTGGCTAATAACTGTAACTCTGATTCCAGGGGGATTCAACAACCTCTTTTGGTTGCTGTGGGCATTCCACAACACAGGTGCACTTATATACATGTAGACAAAACACTCACACACATAAAATTACAAGGAAAGAGAAGCCAGTATAGCTTAGTGAAAGATCGTACCATATAAGAGTTGAAACAACATTGAATCAAATCAGCTCTGGATTTTCTATTCTACTACTTAGGAGGTATGTGATTCATGACAAGGGAAATCTTTCTAAGCTTCAGTTTCCACATCTACAAAATGCAGAACATAGTTCCTATATCAGTTTTTTTTTAATTATTATTATTTTATGTGTATGAGTGTATGCCTGAATGTATGAAAATGCACTTGTGTCATGCAGTGATCATGGACAACAGAAGAGGGTGATAGATTCCCCTGAAACTAGAGTTATGGGTGATTGCCACCATGTGAGTGCTAGGAATAGAACCAGGGTCCTCTGTAAGAGCAGTCAATGCTCTTAACCACTGAGCCATCTCTCCAGTCCCCCATACCACATTTTTTTTTTTTTTTGGTCTTTTTGAGACAGGGTGTTCCTGGAGCCCCAGCTGTCCTGGAACTCACTATGTAGACCAGGCTGGCCTTGAACTCACAGAGATCCGCCTGCCTCTGCCTCCAAAGTGCTGAAATTAAAGGCATGCGCCACCACATCTGGCCCCCATACCAGTTTTTAAAAAACATTTATTTATGTACTTTTGTGTGTGTTTGAGAGGGTGGGGTAGTACACATATCATGGTACATGTGTGGAGGTCAGAGGATAACTTGCAGGAGTTGGTTCTCTCCTTCCACCATATGGGTTCCAGAGATTGAACTCAGGTCATCAGACATAGAGGCAAGTGCCTTTACTTGCTGAGCCATCTTGCATGCCTTTAATCTCAGCACTTGAGAGGCAGAGGCAAGTGGATCTTTGTGAGTTCAAGGCCAGCCTGGTCTATATAAGAGTTCCAGGCCAGCTGGGGTTACAAGGAGACTATCTCAAAAAGACAGAAAAAAAAAAAAAATTGAATTAGAACCATAAGGAAAAAGGGGAAGAAACAGATGACACTCAGGATTCACCCATAACTAAGACCTTTGTGCCTAGAAAGCAGAAGGGAGTCAACAGTACCTGAAGTCAGCCTCCAGCTCTGTGGTGGCAAGGTTGATCATGGCACAGAGACAGTCGATGCTGGAGCTGGACAGAGCCCGCCCAATGCATTTTTTAACAATGTAGAAGACATCATCCACCATGCTGGATGTCAGCTGGCCCTTCTCATAGGTGTCCAGAGCCACAGCCTATCCAAAAGGCAAAGACCTCAGTGAGTATCCCATGTTCTAGGTAGTTCTGCTTATACTGGCATACTGGTCCTGGCTCTGTACCCTTTGCCATACCTTGTCCATGTTTCCCTCAACATGGGTTATTTTGGTCACAACTTGACAAAAAAGCTCATGTTCCTATTTACCACTACATTAGGGAATTTAGTACTTGGGAGTTTGCCTTGGGGACATCCTTTACCTGGAATGTCAGCTGCAGGAGAGGCCCTCCTTCCTTGAGGCACCTAACCCACATACCTGCAGGAACACGGGGAACAACTCTCAGGGGAACTTAGCTGTTCTTTGTAATCCTTGGGAAAGAAGACCCAGCTGGGTCTATGAAGAGCAGGACAACTCCAAAGATGCCTTCTTATCATAAAAAGCAGTGCCACTCGGTCTGCATGCAAAAGGATTTTCAAAGCAGCACCAGGAAATATGGCAGGCCTAACCATTTCCTTCAGCCTGGCTTCTTGGACAGGCAGCCCCACCTGTAAGACATGTGTCCTAATGTCCTACCTTATTGACAGTCTCCCTCATGAAGTATTCCTCCATGGTAATATATAAGCCAATTAGCTCCTGCATGGTACAGCTCAACAGGCAGTTATTGAGGAGTTTGTCCAGGCACTTCTGGTGCTCTAGGAGACAGCCAAGAAAGGAACATTCATTTTCCTTCCCCAAGGGAAATGGAACAATGTTTTTCATTTTTTCAAATTCCCTTTTAGTTTTTGTCTTAAACACATGATGCATAGTTTACATGATTATAATCATAGTCTACATAGATCTGATTATTTATGTGTATGTATGTGTCTGTGTGTATATGCATGTGTGTGTGGGTGCCTCAAGGCTGGAAGAGGAGCTGGACTACAGGCAACTGTGAGCTGCTCAACCTGGGTCCTAAGAACAAAACTCTAGTCCTTTGAAAGAGCACCAAGTACTCTTAAAAAAAAATTTTTTTTTTATTTGTATGAGTGTTGCCTGCATATATGTCTAAGTGCATCCATGTTGTGCAATGCCTGCAGAGGTCAGAAAGTGTTGGATCCCCTGGAACTGGAGTTACGGATGGTTGTTGGCTGCCATGTAGGTGCTGGGACTCAAACCCGGGTCCTCTGCAAGAGCAGTCAGGGCTCTTAACCACTGAGCCATGTCTCTAGCCCTTTAACTATTGTTATTGTCTCTTTTTCTTGTGGGGCTTGGATGGAATGGAAGGCCTTGCACAAGCTAGATGAGCACTCTACCACTGAGCTAAAACCCTAGCCCAAGCCTACTTATTTGTGATCCTCTGCATCAGCCTCTCAAGTCTTGGGATTACAGACCACCATACCCAGCACCATGGAACATTTTATCAGATGAAAAATCTGTATTATTCTAACTCTAATTAATTTTATTATTATTATTGTAACAGGGTCTTACTGTATAGCCCTGGTTGGTCTCAAAAATCACTATATAGACCAAGCTGGCCTTGAATTCAGAGGTCTGTCTGCCTCTTCCAAGTGCTGGGGTTAAAAATGTGTACTACCATGCTGTCCCTAACTCTATTTTTACTTTTTTTTTTTTGAGACAGGGTCTCCCTGTATCCCCAGCTGGCTTGGAACTTGCTATGTAGACCAGGCTGGACTCGATCTCAGAGATCTACCTGCCTCAGCCTCCTGAGTGCTGGGATTAAAGGCATGTGCTATCATACCCAGCCCTAACTCTATTTTTAGACATGTGGGTTATTTCCAAATGTTTTCCACTTCTGCAGATTATAGTAAGTGGATATTACAGTGAACAATTAAAAACATTTATTTATTTATTTTTTGTTAATATTTTATTTTTTAATGTGTATGCTTGTATTGCCTGCATGTATATAAGTGCACCTGTGTCCTGTAATGCCTGCAGAGGACAGAAGAGGCTGTTGGATACCCTGGAACTGGAGTTATGGACAGTTGTTAGCTGCCATGTGGGTGCTGAGATTCAAACCCGGGTCTTCTGCAAGCACAGTCAGTGCTCTTAACTGCTGAGCCATCTCTCCAGCCCTATTTATACTTATTTAAAATTTTTTTTAACTATTTGTTTATTGTGTATGAGTGTTTTGCCTGCATGTATGTGAGTGAACCATGCTGTGCAGTACCCACAAAGGTCAGGTCAGAAGAGGGCTTCAGGTCTCTTGGAACTGGAATTACAGATGGTTGTTAGCTACCATGCAGGTACTGGGAACTGAACTTGGGTCCTCTGCAAAAGCAGCCAGTGTTCTTAACCACTGAGCCAACTATTTGGCCCCAGTGAACAATTTTGTAGAAATAATTTTTATTCCTTTTTCATTAGTTCTCCATGATTAATTCATAGGAATCAAAAGATACAAGTTTTCAGGGCAACGACTGGAATATATTGGATATAAAGCAGTTCTCTGTGCCTGCCCTGTCCAGCTGTTCAAATGAGTTTCTGTGATGAGAGAAAAAAATTTTTTAAAGAATTTTATTTATTATTTTTATTTTATTTTGTGTATATGAGTGTATTGCCTGCATGTGTGTTAAGTGCAACCATATCGTGCAATGCCTGCAGAAGTGGGGGCGTCTGATCTCTTGGAACTGTAGTTATGGATGGTTGTTAGCTGCTGCCGTGTGGGTGCTGGGAATCGAACCTGGTTCCTCTGGAAGAACAGCCAGTACTCTTAACTGCTGAGCCATCTCTCCAGCCTTTGTTTTTTTTTTTTGGAGACAGGGTCTCACTGTGTACCCCTGGCTGGCCTGGAGCTTTGCTCTGTAGACCAGGCTGACCTTGAATTCATAGAGATTCACCTGCTTCTACCTCCCAAGTGCTGGGATTAAAAGTTGTGCACCACCACACCAAGCCTAGATTTCATTTTAATTTTAATTATGTGTATGTATGTGTGAGTGTCTGTGTGTAGCATGTGCACATGAGTGCAAGTGCCCATGGAGGCCAGAGGTATTGGTTTTTACTGGAGCTGGAGTTAAAGAAGGTTGTGAGCTGTCTGATGTGGGTGCGTCAACCATGCACATGTCTGTAGTAAAAGCTATTAATGAAGCTGGGGTGGGAAGATTTCTTGAGACCTGGGCAACATAATGAGACACGGTTCAAAACAACAATAAACACAAGAAAATTTAGAAAACTTAACCTGTAAATGAAATTGGACTGTGGCCCATCATTTCTTTCCATGCCCTCTATCCCTTCAAAAATTATGACTGGTAGAGCTGAAAGGGGCATGGGGGAGACTTCCTTTGCATTACATATTTTTTTTCCCTTTTGAGACGGGTTCTTGTATTATAACACAGGCTGGTCTTGAACTTGAGATTCTCTTGCCTTAGCCTCCTAAGTGCTGAGATTATAGATGTATGCCACCATGCCCATGTAAGTTTACTGAGTATAATTTATAGTCCATAAAATTCATTATTCTATGTATAGAATTCAATCCATTCTTTGAATATTTCTGTCATTTCCAAAAGTTCACTAGTGTACTTAAACAAATCTTTCGTACTATTTAAACTTTTCTTTTTGGTCTTTTTGAGAAAGGGCCTCCCTGTAGCCCCAGCTGGCCTAGAACTCACTATGTTGACAGGCTGGCCTCAAACTTAAGAGATCTGCCTGCCTCTGCCTCCCAAATGCTGGGATTAAAGGTATGCACCACCATGCCCAGTACTATTTAAACATTTATGTGTACATTTCCCAAGTCTAACTATAAACCAGAGCTGATAGAGCAAGGTATAGTGACAGACTGGTCATCACCTATTTATTTTTTTGGCATTTATGTACAAAGGATTTAGAAAGTCTCAAAGTTTCAGTCCAATTCTAAAATATGGCACACTGAGTCAATGGCTATGATCTCCAGCTGTTTCCTTAGTAAGGGATCTGTAGCTTAACTATGACAAGACAGTGTCAGCTATTTATGACAGCCCTCCCACAGATTATGGGAAATATATTTTACCTTGCTTTACTTCTTCTGAAGCCATGGAGTCTCCCACCTCAAAATCTGCACTGATCCTCTTCCTGAGGAAGCGTAAGTACAGCTCACTGCGGGCATTCATTAGGGTGACCTCAGTTAGGATAGGGTCCAGTTCCCTGAGACACAAAGCAGAAGGAATAAGGAGGACACAATTCTTCTATAAGTAGAAGAGCTACAGGATAAGCAGTGCCTCCTCCCCAGCCAGGGTAGCTTTGCCAGAGACAGCTATCAACCATATTTTCCACTTACCAGTTTTACCTGAATCATTTACCTCTAATATTCTGCTATGGCTAAACATGAAAATTACCTTTTGTGAAAGAAAATATACTTCCTCATCTCTAACTGAACCATGAGGTTTTAGGACATACCATTAAACTATCTATTCATCTATCCAACAGCCAAAAAATTCAGAGAAAACAAAATTCAAGGACTTGAGCTTCTGGATTTCACAACTTACTACAGGGCTGGGGAGATGGCTCAGTGGTAAGAGCACTTGCTGCACAAGCATGAGGACCTGAGTTGTAATCCCTAGCATCCATGTTAAAGAAAAAAAAAAAAAAAAAAAAAAGGCCAGGTATGGCCACATGCACCTGTAACTCCAGCATGGGGATGGTTGGGGGTGGGCAGGAAGATCCTGGGGTGCTTACTGGCCAAACAGCTTAGCTCAAACAGTGAGCTTCAAGTTCAGTGAGAGACCACGTCTCCAGGGAACGAGGCAGAGAGTAAAAAAGCAGGAAAGTGATAGAGCAGGACATCCTCCTCTGGCCTGCAGATACGTGCACATACATGCATACAACACACACACACACACACACACACACACACACACACAACCCCCCCCGAAGTTACACCAGTTAACTATGTGGTACTAGCATAAAGATACACATATAAATGGAATAGAATTGAAAGTCCAGGTGGTCAACTGATTTTTAATGAGGCTGCTGAGGCAATTCAATGGGGAAAGAATGGTCTATTCAATGAATTGTGCCAGGACAGTGGTATCCGTGTGAATAAGAACGAAGGTGAACCCAACCTCACATTATATACAGACTTCCATTATACACTGAAGAGGACGTTTCAAAACAGAAATCTGGTCATATGGTTCCTCAGCTCTCAGGATACCAGACCTTGGACTGACTCTAATGATCTCATATTCCTCTTATTTCAGGCTCTCTCCAATACTCTTGCACATACTTCCCTTATGCTTTGAGACAGTCTTCCTTTTACTCCAGCTCACTCTGCAGGTCTCGGGCCTGAGGTCATTTCCTCAGGAATTCTTCCTGAAACATCCCCAGGTTTGGTTACATCTCACTACATGCTCTCCTCTCCCCTGTACTCAGTGCACCACAGTTAACAGCATGCACTCTAGAGCCAAACCGCTTCATTATGCTTCAGGCGCTGCCACTTCCTAGCTTTAATATCTTTAGTCAAATCATTTAGTATTTCTAGGCTTGAGTTTCTTCATCTGAAAATGGTTATATATGAAATCAGTGATTTAAATGGAGGGCGATTTTGCCCCAATCAGAGGACTACTACCATTAGGTGAGTACACAGCAGGGATGCTGTTGTCCATCTTCTGGTGCATAGGACAGTTCTGGGCAACAGATAGCTATCCAGCCCAAATGTCAGTAGTAAAGAGGCTAAAATACCTTGAAATAAGTGGCTTAATATTTGCTAAGTGTTCATAACAATGTCTGGCATATAGTAAACGTATGTATGTTACCCATTCTTATTATCTACTTGATAGATCCTAAGTGCCACAACAAGAAGAATTATATCTGTTTTTGGTCACTTTCTGATACAATAACAAGTAGCACATAATGTGCACACAGTAAAAATTTTATTTTTTTTGAAGACAGGGTATCACTATGAAGACCAGGCTGGCCTCTAATACAGAGATCCGCCAGCCTCTTCCCCTCAACCCTCCACAAGTGCTGGGGTTAAAGGCATGTGCCACCATGCTCAGTCTGAATATACCTCAAAATTTTTTATTTTTATAATTTAATTTTCTTTTTGAAATAGGGTCTTATATAGCGCATGCTGGTGTTGAATTTGCTTTGGAGCTGAGGATGACCTTGTTTCTGATCCTCTTGCCTCTACCTTTCAAGCGCTGGGATTACAGCCATGAACCATCATGCCTGGTTTTATGTGGTGCTAGGCTTTGTGCATACTAGGCAAGTACTCCTTCCCATTAGCTATACTACCCAGCCCATGATCTAGTCTTCTTTATGAGCCACACGTTATACAGAGATATGTTTGTGTGCTGTCTTCTGCTAGGAGTAACTGAAGGAGGCAGGCATTGGTGACTCATACCTGTAATCTCAGCATTTGGAAGGCTGAGGCAGGTGGAGTGCTATTAGTTTAAGGCTAGCCTGGACTACAAAGTTGTCAACAACAACAAAAACGAATAGCTACAATACTTTAAAAACTAAATCATATTAATAGACTAGTCTATAATTTAGATATAACTACCAACTGGAAATCTCATGGGTTGAAGAAAACAGGATTATTACCTTGGTTCAATTTTTTCTGCTCCAGAATTTCTCATCAAGTTGCTCTGGACAAGCCGGAACTGCAAGACATCACAGGAATGAGAATAGTCTTCCTGCCCTCAATTCTCTGCCTCCTATTGGCCATTCTGAACTTCTAACCCACAACGCTAAGCTTCAGCTTGCTCACTGGGCTTTCTCCTTCAAGTCAGAGGTGGACTTTCTGGTCAAAGACTTGTTTTTGGTTTAAATACTAATGTTCATTCTTGTCATCACATTTAAAAGCAATGCTAACAGCACTCCCTTGGGCTACTGCCTCTTAGCCTGGAGTTTTAAGAACTCTGAAGCCACTGCCATTTCCTTTCTTTTTCTGCGGGGAGGGAAAGGACTTGAGACAGGGTTTCACACTGTAGCCCAGTGTGAAACTCATGGCAGTCCACCTGCCTCAGCCACTAAGTGGTGGGATTACTGGTGTAAGTCAACCTGCCTAGCCTTTTTTTGAAGATTTAAAAAATTTAAAAATTTTTTTAATATTATTTTTATTATTTTATGTGTATGAGTGTATTGCCTGCATGTATGTGAGTGCACCCATGTCGTGCAATGCCAAGGAGGACAGAAGAAGACTTCAGATTCCCTGGAACTGGAGTTAAGGACAGTTTGTAGCCACCACGTGGGTACTGGGAATTGAACCCAGGTCCTCTGCAAGAGCAGTCAGTGCTCTTAACCTGAGCCATCTCTCCAGCCCCTAAGATTTATTTTTTTTTAATTGTGTGTTTGTGCGTGTGTAGGTGCCTGTGGAGATCAGAAGCATTGGATTCTCTTTGGAGCTGGAATTACAGGTGGTTGTGAGTCACCTGATATGGGTGCTGGGAACTGAACCTGGGTCCTCTGGAAGAGCGCTCTTAACTACTGAGCCATCTTCCCAGTCCCAGCTTTTTTTTTTAAGACAGGTTCTTATTATGTAGCTCAGGCTGGCCTGGAACTCCTTATGTAGTCCAGGCTGGTCTCAAAATCATGGTAACCCTGCTGCTTCATCCTTCCAATTGACAGGATTATAGCCATGTGCTACCAGCCCGGCTGGGCATTTCCATTTCTGTATGATACTTTTATTTATTCTGCTCACAGGTATGGATAAATAGTTCTAAAAAAGGAAATGAGAAAGAAAATGGGAAATTCAAAACAAATTACTATTTGACACTGAATAGGATCCTAGGTATTGGGAGCTATTAATCCATTATGTACATTGAGCTGTGGCAGGCTTGTTTACTTAGAGTTTGTGTTTTGCACACCAGTACCTAATCTGCCAAGTCAGGAGGAATGTGTTTATATGGTGGAGCTCACAACAAGTATTTGACCGCTCCTTGACCCTCAGATACAGGTGGGAAAAACAGCTGTTGAAGCTAATTGAGCTAAGCAAACGGTGGCTATCGCTGATGTTCTACAGTATAAAAAGGCCAAGCTAAAATAAACCGGGGCTGCAGTCTCTACTGACAGTCCTCCCAAGTATCTTTTCTCTGTCTCTTGTTTTTTCTTTCAATCCTCACTCCCCCTTTCAGGTACTGTCCGTCTTGGCCGGATAGCACTGGCACCTAGGAAAGAAAAATCTTGTTTGTACCACCAGAGAGCACTGTTTCACATTCTGTGATGGAGAATTTGGTCTCATGTTTTTGTTGTGTGAGGGTGGAAACAGGGAACGTGCAGGCCCTGTACATTCAGCATTTGTTTTCCTCTAGACACTTTTTTTCTTTTCCAATTTATTCTACTGAGTGTCCCTGGTTAAAGTTGCTCTCAAACTGCCGGTAGTTTTCCCCCTGCTTACCTGCTGGTGGTAGTCCCTCTGTTGGATGAATTTGTCTACCACCTTTTCCACCTGTCTGTCACATTCTACTTGAAGATATTTGATCAGGGTATAAAGTCTCCCTGGTCCGTAATAGGTCTCCACTATGGGCTGGTGGGTTTCCACGATGCGGGCAATCCCTAAAAGGAAGTTAAGAGAGTTGGACTCCAAAAATACTTCCCATAAAGTAAACTCCTCCGTCCCATCAAGGACTAACCTAGGTCTCACCAATCCTTTTGTTGAACTAACCAGTAGTTCTAGTTGGTGCAATGGGTTGCTAAGAAAATTTGTTAAATATGAACAGTGATTGGTAATACTAACACGTACTTGAGAAGTTATAGTGGTAACTGCTTTCTTCTGTAGGATCTTTAGAAATCAAGATCACCTTCATTGTAGTAATTTATTTTAGGTTAAATTTACTCTCACCGAGTTTGGGTCTTAAGGGCTAGAGAGGAGCAAAATAATTGAGAAACTCTAATCTTGTTAAAAAGATACTAAATCAGGAAACTAATTATCCAATAAATCAACACATAGTAAACCACAGGATGAGATTAAACACATCAGACTAGAGGGGAAAGGCTAGGGTACAGAGGTCAGATGGAAATGTCTCTGGCTTTTCTAGAGTAAAGAGAGGCTCACCTTCAAATAGGAGAGTGAGTGTGTCTGCGAAGACAACTGCAGCTCTTCGATCACTCATGTCTGACCCTAGCACCAAAAGCAGGTTCTCCTCAGCCTTACTGGCCACCTGATAACAGCAGGGAATCTACATTTATTTCTCAGACCAAAGGCTTCCAATTAGCTTTCCTCCCACATTTCCCTTTATGGTCGGAGTGTTACCCTCAGCACTGAGGAACATCTTTTGTGGGTGCTCAAGCAGGACAAGAAACTTGAGTATGTGATAGCTTTAAAATATATTTTTGGAAAAAAAATTTTTTTTTTTTTTTAAACAGGGTCTCACTATGTAGCACTGTCTGGCCTGGAACACTCTGTATAAACCAGGCTGGCCTTGAACTTAAAGAGATCCATCTGCCTCTGCTTCCTTAGCACTGGGATTTAAAGGTATGTGTGACCATGTCCAGCATGATAGTTCTTTTATTCAGACAAACAAAAAATGCTTTTAATCGCGGAACATATGGACTACCATTACCTAAGGAGACAGAACACTCCTGATTTCAATAATCTTCTCAAAGTGTCCTTCCTATGTTAACAGTGCTTTGTGAAGTCAAAGAATTTGGAGACCATGGACATTCTGGGTGGTTTCTTGGTGGCTTGTTTTCCCCACATGAAATGAGGTTTACAGGCTAACCTCAAATTTATGATCCTCCTCTTCTGTGCAACACCTGCTGGCCTGGAAGGATCTTTCAAGGGATTCAAATAGAAGTGATTTCTAGGTCCCTGGTGATAAAATACTCATTTAAAAAAATATATCATGGAGAGGCTGGAGAGATGGCTCAACAGTTAAGAGCACTGACTGCTCTTCCAGGGGACCTGGGTTCAGTTCCCAGCATCCATGGCGACTAACCACCATCTGAAACTCCAGTTCCAGGGGATCTGATGCCCTCTTCTGACCTCCTTGGGCACTGTACAACATAGATGTATTTAACATACATCCAGGCAAGCTGGGTGTGGTGGCACATGCCTTTAATCCCAGCACTTGGGAGGCAGAGGCAGGTGGATCTTTGTGAGTTCGGCCAGCCTGGTCTACATGGTGAGTTCCGGGACAGCTGGGGCTACAGGGAGACCCTGTCTCAAAAAGACCAAAAAAAAAAA